CTCAGTAATTTAAAGCTGTGAAAGCATGCATGTCCACCATTACACTCCCTAAAATCATAACAGAAGACAGGGACCAAAGGGCCTACGGTACTCACTGTTCACACAAATACAGCTACAGACCATGAATCAAATCAGACGCTCCCTCATTGTGAGCATATAAATTACAAGTGATTGTGCTTTGTAACAAAGGCAGCGGAGCATATTGTGCAAACATTCTGCTTTTTAATGAGTTAATTAGAGAACCTCACTCAAAGCTGAGCACAACATTTCAAGATGGATATGAGTGACGAGCTCTGCCAGGTGACAGCACAAAGACTCAAGATCCTGTGTTAATTGCTGCAGCAGTCGACAGATGTGCTTCATGTTTCTGTCCGTTCCCTGCTTTATTAAAATTAGCTGGGCCCCAAAGAATGCCAAATGGTGTCTTCCAGAACTAAATGATTTATGACCACTAAGTGGAATTGTGTCATTCTAATTTGCAACATGCTTTACCTGGTTTAGAAAGGATGCCGTCTGTGGCTTTGGGAAGCTGAGTTGGTGTTAAATCATACTGATTTGTACTAAAATGACAAACTGAATAGGTACTGCATTCCTATTTTCTTCAGCCTCACTACCAGTAAGACTAGACTTAGTATTTTCTCACCAGCTGACTCCCCCATTGCTGCAAAAAGAGTCGGCTTTTCTTGTAGACTTAATAAAACTAAACTACAAAAAACTTTAAGTCAGAGAGTCAGTGTATTCAGTATGTTATGCAAACCAGAAGTGGATAGCTTGATGTGCTGCAGTGCTGCCCCAGCCCGAATGTTGCATCCCCTCAGCTGACAGCAGCATAGGGATTAATCACGCAGCTCATTAAGACAATCTGCAAGTGCCCACAGCTCATAAACTCTGGAATAGACCATAGTGACTGTTTTATCTCCTTTTCCTGCTTATTTACTTCTCAATAGAGTCAACCCACCCAAACACACATTTGAGACATGGGACTATGACTTTTTATTGCCATCATTTTTATTCATACACTGAAATTTAAGTTTCTTACCCACACATGATGTCTAGTCCCCGTGCTGACAAAATATCGCTGCCAGTGAATGAACTGTAAATTTTCATAGGTGGTTTTAACTGTGGAATCACCCAGGTGACAGACATGGTTATTCTTCAAGTATCTGTGCATAATAAAACAATCATAATTTTCAATCACCTTGACTGAAAGTGCAAACAAGGGTATTAAGGAAAGTGATTTTTAACACTGATGCTCTTCTCTTAAGAATAAACTATTATGATTAAATACGAGCAATATATCTGTCAAAAGTGTCTTTTGCCAAAGCTGGAAAAGATTGCTGGCAACGGCAGATCTAGAAAAGTTTGGATGGGGTAGCCAAGCTGGAGCACAGACTCAGAGAGGGGCAGAACTTTTGAAATACATGTAAAAGCTAAATTAAAGCACTAGTTCTATGAAATAATAAACCATGCATTATTAAGAATCAAATGGCTTATTTTGTGTAGAAATGATTCACACATTTGCTGTGCTCCTTATATACTCTTAGCCAAGAACATTGCTGCTGCACCCCACCCCCCACTGAGGAAAGTACTGACAACAACCACAGAAATGAATGCAAATATCTGCTGACAGACTTTTCAAATGTTTCTTACTGCTCCATCATTCAGGCAGACTAGGGATCCTTGGCACATGAAGTGTTCTTTTTACTAAAACAAGATTTATTGGTCACATTGAGGCAAAGCTTTCAGCTCACGACTGTGTGAGCATTAGCATGGAAGATAGTAAAAGTGTTCAATATAAAAAGCTCTTTTAAGAAACTGTGTCCCCAAGTTGACAGAAATCTCTTAACACAGTAAAACCACTCTTAGTGTTTGTTGGAGAGGAGATCAGAATTTTACATACTTGGATCTGATAGCCTGCAGGTTAGGCTAATAAAGGCTCTATCCCATTATAAAGCCTCGTCCGGTTCTTTCAAACCAGGAACTCCGAGGGACGACTCAGACCACTTGAGTATATAAAAAATATAACCGTGCTGGTTTATTCAAAGAGGCACAGGCAAGAATTCACACTTCCAGTCTCGAGATCTTCCAACCCCCAGGCTGCCAAAGCAGCCCGGAAACAGAAAAGACCCCGAACCACGAATTCCTATACAATATTAATCATTTCTGGGCTGGGAAACCGTGACGTCACCTGATATGCCAGCTTGGCAGCTGAGCAGAGCAGTAGACAAAACATGAAGAAAATAATGTGTGTGGCTGTTGTTTTTGTGGTGTGTATCTAAAACAATTTGACATAACATTACACATTAAGACAAATATTATGGTTACTTTTACCGTCATAATAACATTTGTCCCTGACTTGAGCCCTTCTCTGCCTTAACTATCCTTGCATTTAACAGCCTGAGGAGACATCCTGGCTGCACTAACATCTTCTAATACAACAGATCTCTAATCCATATCTATCTAACTAAAAAATTACCTAACACTAACCAAATTGGTTAGCTTAGTCTAACTTGAAGAGGGGGAAAGAGCTAGTCTGACTCTTCTTTTTTATAGGAAACAGCCATAATATTGTATAGCTCTTGCTCTAAACTTCTTTTAACATGGATCTTGCCAGACATGTCATTACGCTTGCCATTAAGCACTGCATATTACCCTTCACTCTTTCAGTCATTGCCCTTGTCAGTTACTGATATAATCCAAAGCCTGGCTCTGTCCAATGATACAATATATATAAAAAATGTAAAACATCTGCCTATCCACAACTTTAACACTTATCTGTTTAATACATGTATTTCTTTGATGGGTGCAGTGGCTTCCTGGAGTCTCTGCTTTGTGTTTTTGTTATGGACATAAAAAGCATTCTTAGTATGATTACAGTATGAGCACCACTTGCAGCATACCTTGGCATTATTAGCAGCCCACATGGGCAACATCTTATGGGCTCCAATGTAAGCTCATCATTCACCCATGTGAAGCCCACATGGCTGGCCAGGTGGGGGTCCGAATGTCTACAGGCCAGAAAATTAGCTTTGATGAGCAAATATAGGAGCACCTGCCAAATAAATTGGTGGCAGGTGCACCGATTATCAACTCTACAAAGTCTCCACAGTGTTACGGTTTAGGCCCCCTCACCAAGGGGGTTGAGGGAGAACTATGGTAGGACTCAAGGGTGCTGACCCAGGTGCTAGTAAAAAAAAGGAGTTTCAATGGAACAAAACAGAAAGGACAACATAACAGGGTCCATGTACATGTACAATCCGGGTGGAGTACAGATGGTGGAGGAGACCAGGACGACCAGGAGAGTAGACAGGCTAACGGCAGGAACCAAGAGTAGGAGAATGAGGACAGACAGGTGAAAAAGAAGAAAGTGGCGAACGACAAAAGAAATCAACCGCACAGGAACTGTCAGCATTGAATTCTACGTACGCATTACTAAACTTATAGAAACAAAAACATACAAAGAGGTCCATGGCACAGGAACTGTCAGCGTGGCCTTCTATAAACACAAAACATAACCAACGTACAAAATGCTATCCACAGCACAGGAGCTGTCAGCATGGAAAACAAAATGACATACAATACATACCACGAGTATAGGGCTGTTACAGGGTATGCACGTTACAGTAGTTAATGCTCCGGCGGAGCGTCCGCCAGAGGAATAAATAAGGTAGGAGGGTGATTACAGTGATGTGCCCCAGCTGTGCGCGACAACCCACAAGTCACTGATTACATAAAGCAACACAATTGAGGCTATGATCCTGCAAAAAGAGTGAGCAGGAGAGAGAAAGGCAGAAGAGAGGCAGGTCGCGCCGAGCGGACCTGACACACAGATACTGTATGTCATAGCCAATCACATATCTGGGACACTAAATAAACAGCTCAAATAAATTAAGGGAACAGTTAATCATCACAGTATAACACCGAGTCAATTACAGTTCAGGGATATCAATCTGTCCACAAATGAAGCACAAGTGATACCACGACAGACTGTCTTGGAGCTCACTGATGCCCTGATCCAGGTCTGGGAGACCCCCAGGACACCCTCCTCCAACTCATCAGGAGATTTTGGTTTCCACTGACCATTGTTATGTCATGTTGTTTTGAACAAATTATACAATGTACATTAGTAAAGGTATTAAACTTGAATAATTTGTAATCAAGATCCAATGCATGATTTAAGTGTTTCCTTAATTGTTTAAGCAGTGTATATCACTGCAGCTTTGACACAATTTATGCACAATCCCATAAACTTGCTAACCCTGCTGTATGAACCAGCAGCTGTAATGTCACAAAGGTGGTAGTGTGCGTCAGTGTGGTGCTGCTGACTGTCAAAAGTATTAAGAGGGTGTATGTGTCCAAAGCTTACAATCCAGACACCCACCCCAATCCCCTAAAGTTTTCACAGAGGCTGCGTTTCATCTGGCTTTATATTTCAGACCTATTGTTTATCTGCAGTGAGGGGGCCCTGTGACAAAACCTCAGCAGGACTTCTCCATCTGCAATGAGCCATCTGCCAAACACAGGCTCTCTCTCTCTCTCTCACACACACACACACACACACACACGTACACACTTCCTCTGCCGTGTCAGTTTCTCAGGTTATGAGATAAATATAGGAATATGCTCTCTAATAAAAGCAGCAAAGTTAGTTAATTTCGGTTAACGTATCTATTCGCCTTCAGGGAAGCCCGGTGTAGTGCTCTTCCAAATCGAGTCTTAACTTCCTGTCATTTGTGTTTCCTGTAAACAACGATACGTGTAGGTGTAGGTTTAAACACGATGAAAGCCAGAATGTATAGCAACACAGAGATTAAAGAAATGTGATGTGCTCTCAAAATGTTAATCTCTCGCCATGGGGACCATACATAAAGATGAAATGACTTTCAGTTTGAACACTACCGCAGCTCAATCAACACTTTTCACGGTACGTGGCTCCCATCTATTGGCAGAAAGAAGAACAGTTACGCACAAACGTCAGTGTCGTAAAAACTACCATGTGGCCGCATTGCTTGACGGCTAAATGTAATTTTAAAAATCGACATGGCTTCTTCGGTGATTTGCGGCGAAACACAGAGCAGGTATTAAACAGTTGTCATTAGATTAACGAGAACAAATGGTTGGGGTAGGGGCTGGAATAGCTCGAGGTGCATATTTCGAACAGCAATACATCCAGATTATGGATGTATTGCGTAGATGTCGGCAGCAGAGCCCAACCTTAAACTGTTAGACATTGAATAGGCTCGAGTTCTCGGAATATGTAGTAGAACATTTAAGAATTCCCCAGTCTCTACATTGCAGGTTGAACTTGGGGAAACTCCGTTGAGATTACGCAGACTGAATGTTAAATTACGGGGCCATGACAGTACCCATCCTACTAAAGTCAATTTTGTTGGATTGCAGGGGACACAATGAGCCCAACTTTAAATAGAATTGGGTGGATAGGTAATATTATGGCCCGGGGTGTAAGACATTAAAGATATTGTCCAACTGTTCCATGGCCAGAGATTCCACAATGGTTGTTCTCTAGACAAATGGTGAACCTAGACCTAACTGAGGAACTGAAAGAAGAAACCAAATATGTTCCTACATCAACCTATGTGGAGGGATTTATAGGTCGTTATTACAATGATAAATGATATTTAATAATGGGTCCAAAGATCCTGGTTCTGGGCAAACGGGAGCTACTGTGGTTATTTCCCAAAAGTGTGTGTGTGTTTTGGGGGGGGGGGGGACAACTGATCACTTATCAGTATTCACAGTTGAATTGCTTGCTATATTAATAGCATTTCAATGGGTTGAGGAAAATAACGTTAATGTGGGATTAATATGTTCTGATAATTCTTCTTCTCCCTTTAGTATTAAATAAGGCCTGTCTGAAACCAGACACGAGGTTAAATGAGATGTATGAATAGTAAAGGTGTAACAGTTAGCTTTTTGTGGGTGCCAGCCCACTGACAGGAATGAGGAGGCTGACTCTGCTGCTAATCAGTCTCCAAAACTTGATGTAGTTACCAAGAATATAAAAAAAATGGTTGGGTATCAGCAGGCATGGATTGGTACTAGGAAGGAAATTGTAACAACGTGTTTAAGAATAGGTCACACAGGATTAAATTATACTTTGCATAAAATAGGTAAACACCCTACAGGTCACTGTTAACACTGTAGTGAAGCTGAGACAGTAGAGCATGTCCTGTTCCTATGCAATGCATATAATGAACAACGTGCTCGAATGATAGCTTCACTGGAAAAAAATAAGGATTAATAATATGTCAATAGAGAGCATATTGGGTAGCAATTATAAGAAAGCATATAAAATGTGTTATTATTTAACAGACCTAGGTATCATGGACAGGATTTAATTATGCATGTAGATATAAGCACCTCCTTTTTTCATTTGGCTCTGTGGCTGATCCACCTGCATGCAACTCTGCAATAAACTACAGAAGAAGAAGAAGATTGAGAGCACATAAGTGTCAAACTTAATTATGTCTCAATGCCATTTGTTTACTACAAAAGGATTAGTAAATCTTGCAAGTATTGTTAGCTAGTTGATGTGTAAACTAACAACTTGGATTTTTTGCCACTACATTTTCAGGGTGAGTTCAGTGCTAAACAGAGATGTGAAGCAGTATGGGAAGAAGAACATGTTTGACTGTAATGAAGAAACATGCTGGAGCTCAGACCAGGTAGAAATACAGCTGCGTCTCAATCTCATACTATATACTGTATGAACACAGTAATGTTGTGTACTACATTGAAATTGTCATATCATTTGTCATAGAGCTATTCCGTTTTTTGCATTCATATATGAGAAATCAACAAATGTTTTATACAAAAAAGACATTAGATTTTTAAACAGCACCTTTTACTGAGTTTTCTGAAGTCTGTCTGGATCTGCTCCAGCACCACCAGCAATTTAATTTTTATTTTTTTTTGTGAATTGCATTGTCAGAGAGATTAGAGTACAGTATTCAGACCCCTTCATGGATGAAATGTTCATTCTGCCCATTAGTCTACACTCAATAACCCATAATGACAAAGTGATTGGGTGTTTTTAGAAAATTTTGCAAATGCAGCACTTCATCAATAAGGTCTTCATCGCACAGTGACTAGACAGAAGCCATTGTTGAGTGAAAGACATATGACAGCCCGCTTGCAGTTTGCCAGACAGCATTTAAAGGTGGAAAAAGATCCCCTGGTCTGATGAGACAAACTGAATTCTTCCCAGCACTAGGTCTGGTGAACACTACTGTGAAGCATGGTGGTGGTAGCATTATCATATGTGGGTGCTTCTCAGTGGCAGCAACATGGAGATTGGTCCGAACTGAGGGAAGAAATGCAGTCAAATACAGAATGGTCCTTGAAGGAAACCTGCCACCAGTGACTGCAGTGATGGTTCACCTTTCAGCACAACAGTGACCTAAAGCAGTCAGCCAAGACTACACTGGAGTAGCTTCAGGACAAGACTGACAGACCTTGAGTGGCCCAGCCAAGTTCTAGACTTAAACCCCATAGAACATCTGTGGAGAGACCTGAGGATGACAGGCACTTCTAAACTGACAGTGCTTGAGAGGATCTGAATCAGATTCAGAATCTGCTTTATTGGCCAGGTGTGTCGGACACATGACGAATTTGACTGATACATCGACTCTCAATGTGTATGTACATATCCCCATGCAAGGGGCAAGTAAACAGTAAACCAGCATAAGGCTGTGTAATATAACAAAATAAGCAGTATTAACAGACAAAGGAATGCTCATTGAAATGAGATAAATAGGAATAAAAACAGAATACTTAAAACTAGAGTACCTGTACGAATCTGTATAATCTGTATGAGGTATATTTACAGGTATTGCACTGAGGGTTATTGTCCAACCCTACTGTCGTTGGTTAAGTGTTCATCTGAGTGATGGCCTGGTGAAAGAAACTGTCCCTGTGCCTGGTTGTCTTGGTGCGCAGTGACCTGTAACACCGTCCAGAGGGGAGGAGTTCAAACAGATTGTGTCCAGGGTGTGAGGGGTCTACAATGAATCTCTCCGCCCTCCTTTTGACCCGTGAGGTGTACAGTGATTCCTCTGTAGAACTGGATCAGCAGCTCCTGGGGCAGGTCGAACTTCCTGAGCTGGAGCAGGAAGTACATCCTCTGCTGTGCCTTCTTGGTGATGGTCCTGATGTTGGACGTCCACTTCAGGTCCTGGGAGATAGTGGAGCCCAGGAACTTGTAGGACTTTACTGCTGATACAGTGCTGCCAAGTATGGTGACGGGGGATAAGGTGGGGGGGGCTCTTCCTGAAGTCCACTGTCATCTCCACTGTTTTGAGCGTGTTCAGCTCCACGTTGTTCCGGCTACACCACAGGACCAGCTGCTCAACCTCCTGTCTGTAGGATGACTTGTCGCCGTCTCGGATGAGACTAATGACCGTTGTATCATCAACTTTAGGAGCTTGACAGAGGGGTCCTTCAAGATGCAGTCGTTGGTGTAGAGTGAAAACAGCAGAGGGGAGAGCACGCATATAGAGCTGAACAAATAGAAAACAAAACACTTCCTACACGTATCTGGACATTTAATAGTAAAATGGCACAGTGACTGATCATCTATACATTGATTGGGACCCATTGTTTGGCAGGGTGAATGTCAGTGGTTGTCCATGGAGTTCCCCCAGTCAGTCAAGATGTCAGAGTTAAAGGTCCAGTTCCAGGGAGGCTTCTCAGCAAAAACATGCAGACTAGAAGGTAAAACTCAAAGATTACCAACTGTAAGCCTCATTATAATTGGTTTCCTGATGTGACTGTACAGTGCATCAGCTTCTTATTTAAGTTTTCCTATAGCAGACAAAACATTAGGTCTGACAAGATAAATGGTTTTCCACTTGTGTTTTCTGCAGGTTACCCAAAAGATGGAGACTTTAGAGTGATCAGCCAGTTTTACCCAGAGGACAACAACTCCCTTCAGATATCCTTTATTCTGCATTTTTTGGGGAAGATTAGATTTGTTACTGGGTAAGGGTGAGTGCATCAATTACCAAAAGTATTGATACTACCAATACAGAGTTTTACATTGAGAATCGATTATAGCAGAAATAAGATTGATACACCTCACTCCGCTGAGCATTTACAGAGAACCATTATAAGACCACTGAACAAAAACGAAGCTCCCATTCCCAGTTTCCTCTACGAACTCTAGGACCACTTGTTTTATTTTCTGCTGGAACATCATCCCCACGTCAGCACCATTGTATCCCGTTATACTGAAGCGACCCACCACCAACTTGTGCCACACGAGACTTAAAACAAATGCACCTTTGAGCAGCAGCAGGCAGCCAAGTGGAGAGAGGCCAGTGGGGAGACACTGAGACACACACAGTTTAGCCTTTATCCCTGCTACACACACTGTTTTAACACAGTGTGTGTAGATCATGTGATTAACATAAAGCTATATCATATAATGCCTAATGTTTGGAAATTATTTGGCGGTAATGAAAATGAGTTCAGAAATTCATTATTAATTACGGTGATACCTGGTGTTGCTTGTTATCAGATCAAATCCAAATTTTGTGGCATCCGTGAAGGTAGACTCAACAATGTCCACACTGGGGATATGTTGCAGCAAGCCTACTGTATCAAACAAATATCAGTATTTGGGCAGGTTTTTCTTTAAGATAGCACTAAATACAACTGTAGTACAATAACAGTTCAGAAATAAAATTCACTCTGTCAGTCTACACCAGGGATATTACAAGCTGTACCTGTAACTTTAGGAACACACACTGCTTCCTGTTGCTAGATGGTTCATATTAAGTATAGGAACAGTATATTCCTGGATATGCTTATCTTGTTCTTAACTCCACACCCACAGCTTTCCCATACAGGAGGCCCCTGCAGTGGACAAAGTAAAAATAATGTTTGAGAATAGTGTTGACTTTTTTGGGAGAATAATTATTTATTCCTTGGACATCCTGGGGGAAAAAGCTTCATGACCATTTTTTTTATTATTTCTCTCATGAGAGAATATACGAGCCCTGCGTAAAGTGATGGTGTGGTGGCACTTGGGAAACATCATCTGCACTGCCACCTCATGAACTGATGTGAATGTGGCCTGTTTTGGTATCCACTCTTTCAGGGATCTGTCTGGCAGTCTCACGTCTTTCACTCAATCACAAGGTGCTCGGCCTGGAGTCTGGATATGAGTTTTAACTGCAGTTATATGGGTTGCGATTATAAGAGCTCAAGTGCAGTTCCAGTGTAACACAGTATAAAAATACATTTTTATTAAAACTTGCTTACAGCCTTCCCACCAAACAAAATAATTCTGGTGTGTATAGGGTAATGCATACAAATGGAATAAACAGTTTATAAATTAACAAATGCAGTTTGCTCAGTGTAAATGTCTCTGCATGTGTATTAATCTATTCTGTAATTGTGACAGAGGTCTCAGCTGTTTCATCACCAACATTAGCTGGTTGTAGATGTGAGATCATCTGTGTCACCCTGTCCTTGTGTCATGTTGGGGGTGTGGTTGGCTTGTAGAGCTTCAGAATATGGTCCTCCAACACTTTCTGAACTAAGAAAAACATTTGAATGTTAGCACAGAACAACTCCATTACAATAGCCTCTTATAAAAAGAAAAACAGTGTAAGATGGCAATACATACTCTTCTTGTGTCCAAGGGCAACGGCCAGGGCCATTGGACTGTACCCAGAGTCTGATTCAATTGTCATGTCTGCTCCTTTGGCTGAAAAAAGTACAGTAATATCAGGTCGTAAAGTATTCAGAAAGAATACTACAGAATTTGTTATGACTTATAAACAGACAGTGTACCTAAAAGTGCCTCTACACATTTGATGTGGTTCCCCCGCACAGCATAAAGAAGAGGTGTTCCACCATTCTGACAATAAAATACATGTTTATTAAAAACAAAACAAAAAAACGGTGTTGTATTTATATTTTCTTTAATACTTTTTGACCATCCTAATAATGTGTGTTTGCTAGCCATAAGTAAAAAAAATCATATCCAACATAAAGAAAGCCCCATGTGTGTACCCAGTCATAAGTGTTAATGTCTGCTCCATGTCTGAGAAGAGACTCAACAATGTCCACATAACCTCCAGAGCTAGCCAGTGTCAGGGCACTCTCTCGCTCCCTTGCAATGGTTTTGGGGTCTGCACCCTAAAACACGGATCCCATTTACATCAGTGAGACAGTGTGTTTTGTGTTAATTATGTTCCTGCTGTTTTGAACAGCAGTTGCTTGCTACTAACCTTTTCTAAGAGAAAATCCACCATGGCTTTCTCTCCAAACGCTGCCGCCCACATGAGAGGGGTAAAGCCCCGTTCATCCTGTTTGATGAGCAGTGAGCTGTCTGCAAGATGAAGCAGGTTACATGCCACCATCAGGACTTTTCTAAAATTTAGCAATGGTAAAATTTGCATTGTGTTATGATTCTTGGTGGATGACCATGAGATCCAGATTTCCCACCTTTACTCAGGTGTGCAGCCGCTTGTGAAACCTCGCCTTGAGCTGCCAGCTGGTGTATGGACAGAGCTGATGGACATTAAATCTGAATAACTTCATATGGTCAATACAATGAATGCTCCTCTAAAGCCCTATTTTGTTAGCGTATTGCCAGTACTTACCGTCTAAAGTTGCCGGGCGTACTGTGACCTCGTTCCCACGCTGCTTGTTAGTCAGAGTGGTGGAGTGTTTGAACAAACCGTCTTCATCCACATCTATGTTCTCTGCCCAGTCAGATGAACCACAGCCATGTCAGTGAAAGCAATAAATTCAGCTTTAACTGATTGTTTTAAAACATGGGATGTCTGTATGTTACTCAGAACAAAAAGCATGTGAAAAAGCTTGCATTAAAAGATAACATATTAAGGCTATGAATACCATTGAACCTCTCATCTGTAGACTCCGCGGGACACACATTAGCGTTAACTGCCTGATTACTGTGGCCATGTGCAACCGCATCATCAGCCTCCATGATCACTGTAAAAAAAACAAGACATGAACTACTAAATAATGTGGGAGTTCTGTTAAGAAAAAGTAGCCAAAATCGTGTAGAAAGCAAAGTACATTGTTCACTTACCACATCCAGCCTCACAGTCCAATGTGCGCTAACTTGCTTTTGGGAAAACTGAAAGTAAATTATTTCTAATTACACGACGGATCTTGCTTACCACCTGAGTGTGCCGAGAGTACATTTCTCATTGCTCAGTAGATAAGCTACTACTACTATTACTAATTAATCAATTATTATAACAAACGCAGCGTAAACATGTTTAAATCGGTATGTGTAACGTATCATAGCATTCGGTACTCTTTGAAGGAAGAACTGTTTTTCCACAGTCGATATTTCTATCCGGAACATTGTCGTGAGGCACATGACAAAAAAGGAAGAATAAAGGAATCAGCTGACACAATTCGTTTTTAGCAGCACCGTGTTATTGTTTTCTGGTTGGAATGACCAGCTTGTATTATGGAAGCCCAGGAGATGCAACTGAAAGTTAGACGAGGTAAACATCGGATAAATAAATCATACAAATTACCTCATGTTTATCTTGCAGCGCTGCAGCTAAGCTAGTAGTAATAGTAGCTGTTAACGTTCTCTCACTTTAGCCGCTAAGCTAAAAACGTTAGCATGCCTGTCTTTGTGTTTACCTCGCCAGTCGTCCATGTTCTGCTGTCCTGCGTTTCCCCTCTGCTTTTAAATCTTTTTCTACCACGGGTTTTTTTTTTAAAGCATGTATTTGTGATACTTTTACAGTGACTGACAAATTCACGGAGAGCATGTACGTCCTGGCTAATGAGCCGTCAGTCGCTCTCTACAGACTGCAGGAACACGTCAGAAGGTCGTTGCCTGAACTGGTACAACACAAGGTACTCTCCCTGTGCCATGTTTGTGTAGACAAAACCATATCAAACACACCTACATTAAGGGGGAAATTAACTCCAAAATAAAATGTAGCCCGATTTACATTGTGCTATTGAAGTAACTTGAGACAGGAAAATTTGTATCTGGAAACAAAAGTCTGTCCCTAAGTCTTGCTGCCAAATGCTTTGTCATTGTTTGTGGACAGCCACTTGAATATATAAACTGAGCGTTTTGAATTAAACACAAATGCCACAACATAGTGTAGTAGAGTTGCACTCGTTCTCTGGAGGTTTTTTAAAAGTTTTACTTTGTGTCATTTCTCACACAGACAGATATGCAGAGCTGGGAAGAGCAGAGTCAAGGAGCTATCTACACTGTAGAGTATGCATGCAGGTGGGATGATGCATAGATCTACAAATCTTTCCAGGATCATGTTGGCCCACTCCTATGACTGTTAACACTTTCACTTATCTACTGGTTTTTCCAGTGCTGTGAAGAGCATGACAAACAGCAGCATGTATTTCAAAAATATTGACAGCCTCCTCCGACAAGCCATCAAAATGAAGGAGCAGATTAGCAACTCTCAAGGGCGCAGGTAAGAGACAGCAGTCAACTTGTTCACTGAGTGTTGTCCAAAGTGTAGGGGTTGGCAATATGACATTATTTGTGACTGCACCAGTACAATAACACCTCTACATAATTGCATCAGGCATAGTTAATCAGTGTTTTCCCCACTGCATTAAATGTGTTGTTATTCATCTTTTCAATATAGGTGCATCACTGTTCTCAGGTCTTTGCCCCTGTGCTGTGCTTTGTTGGAAGTGATGCTTGTCACTTTCAAATTTTCAAAAAGATTTGCTAATAAAAGGCAGCTAAATGTACAATTTCAGATGTATGCTGACATCTGTCGAGCAGCAGCATTACTTCTCTGTGGCTTTTAGTTGTGTCAGCTCTTCCACATATGACACGTTTATACCCATTTCAAAGTATAAGCCTTCCAGTGCTGTCTAAGGGCTTTTTCAGATGCTGCACAAACTATGTAAACAGCTGTAAAGGCAAGGGTCATGCAAATGTTTATGCTCATAGGCAGTGGCTGCCATGTGTCTTGGCAGATGCAATACACTGCTTGCCCAACAGGGGGCAAGAGTTATAGCCCACGGTCCTAATCAGGTCACGTGATTTTGTTCAGTAGAAGCAAAAATTGTTACGGAAGAGGAGTGCATCATTTTGCTTCTCCCATATAATAAATATGCCAATGAACACAGACAACTTCACACAGCCTGTTTTTGTTTTGTCTGTTTTTTGACACCAGAAATGGTTCTTCTGTAACAAAGACTACAGATTAGCATGACAGTACAGTATTTGCATTAGAGCCCCCCCATTGGAAATGCATGAAATAACACGAGTTACCGGTACAAATGATTGGATGTTTTTGCTACGCTAGTATGCGTCAGACCTTCCTTGCATACGGCTGCGTAGCGTCTGAAAGAGCCCTACACCGTAACCAGCTCTTTAAATTTGAAAACTTCTATACAAGTATTTCAAAAGCTGATTACATGAAAGCAGTATTACTTGTGCCTCTACCCTACTGTTTTGGCCATATCACTGACCCCTACACAATGGTGGCTCAGTGTCTGCAGTGTCATCCTGTTTGTTTTCATTCTTTGCTCCACATCATACCTTTGTTCAACCTGTTTAGTGTTTATTTTATTTAATCAATCATTTATAATGATTTGAATCAGTTAATATTTTGGGACATCAGCTAATACAACTTGTTTTTGTTTGCTTTATTCCCCCAGTAACTGCAAAATATTTATCAGGCTAGTTCTCAACTCTTTGTAGTTAATGCGAGCTTCATGGTTTCTGTTGTATTTGTCTGTGCTTTTTATTTGTTTCCCACTGACAAGTGCATGCAGCTTACACGATGTGACCCCTTCTCCCAGTACCCTTGTCTCTGCTCCACATGCACCTTCCACTTCCACATGACCCCTGAACAGAGGTGTCCAAGGTCAGTAGTTCCTCCAGGCATGACATAATTACACTGATGTATTAAACACGTGGACAAAATTGTTTGTACCCTTCCATTCAAGAAAGAGAAACTCACAATAGTCACTGAAATAACGTGAAACTGACAAGAGTCAAGAATCTTTATTGCCATTATGCATAGCACAACGAAATTTTTTTCCGGCAGCTCTCGGCTTAAAAGACAGACATATTGTTTACATAACACACAATTGTACAAGTCAATATAAAAATATGACCAAATAAAAAGGGATGTATGGGACCTAATCAGGTTAGTAGCAAGAGTGTAGTAACATTATAAGGTGCAGCTCAGTGCAAATCTCAGTCTTTAGGAAGAGGTGTGAGCATGGGTGTGTGTCTGCAGAGGTCCAGTGTTCTGTGTCTGTCCATAGGGGGGAGGTTGTGTGTGTGACTAGGGGTTAGAGGGGTGATTGATTTCACAGCTCTGGGGAAGAAGCTGTGTCTCAGTCTGTTTGTTTTAGTCTTTATATTCCTGTACCTTTTCCTGAAGGGAAGAGGCACAAACAGATTGTTGCCTGGGTGGGTGGGGTCTGCAGCAATCCGCCCAGCCCTCCTCTAGATCCGGTCAGAGGAGAGACCAGCGAGTTTCAGCTTCCTGAGGAAGAAAAGCCTTTGCTGGGTAGGATGTGTTCAGAGACCAGGTCATGCCAGATGTGATGCCCAGGAGCTTAATGTTATCTACTTGCTCCACCACCTCCCCGTGTATGAGAAGAGGAGCATGTTTTGTCTTCCTGGACCTCCTATAATCCACAATGACATCCCTAGTCTTGTTGGTGTTCAGGACAAGATTGTTATTTGAACACCACCTTGTCAGGTGCTGGATCTTCTCTTTGTAGCGAGTCTCATCATTGTCTGAGATGAGACCCACTGCAGTGGTATTGTTTGTGAACTTTACTACTGTGTTTGTGGGGTGAATGGCATCACAGTCATGGATAAACAGAGTGAAGAGAACTGGGCTAAGCACACAGCCCTGTGGTGTGCCTGTGTTCAAGATCAGTGTGGATGGTGTGCAGCTTCCGATTCTCACCACTTGAGGCCTGTTAGTGAGGAAGTCCTTAATCCAATGACACATCATTGCAGGCATTCCCAGATTGTGCAGTTTCAGTGCCAGGTTGTCTGGGATTACAGTATTAAATGCCGAACCGAAGTCAACAAATAGCATCCTTACATAAGTGTTAGAATGCTCTAGGTAGGACAGGGTTGTGTGTGATGCTATTGAGACAGCATCCCAATAGCATTACACACAGCCCTGTCCTACCTAGAGCATTCTAACACTTATGTCAGGATGCTATTTGTTGACTTCAGTAATAGTAATAGTAAATAAAAATCTACTGAAAATTAACTCATGAAAATCAGACATTGCTTTTGCTCATAGAAGGCCACTTCAGAATAGTCCAGTGCTTTGTTCTTGGCCATTCTTGGCTGTTTTTAGCTGTGTGTTTTGGGAGGACCCATGACCTGCGACTGAGACCAAGCTTTCTGACACTGGGCAGCACATTTCGCTCCAGAATGCCTTGATAGTCTTGAGATTTTGTTGTACCCTACACAGATTCAAGACAGCCCCAGAACATAACCAAGCCTCCTCCATGTTTCACAGTAGGTACAGTGTTCTTTTATTTGTATGCTTCATTTTTGTGTCTGTGAACATAGAGCTGATGTGATTTGCCAAAAGGCTCCAGTTTTGTCTCATCTGTCCAAAGGGCATTCTCCCAGAAGCTTTGTGGCTGGTCAATATGCATTTTGACACATTCCATTCTCGCTTTTTTATGAGTTGCTTTCAACAGTGGAGTCCTCCTCGGTCGTCTTCCATGAAGTCCACTGTGGCTCAAACAGCGATAGATGGTGCAATCTGACACTGATGTGCCTTGACCTTGGAGTTCACCTCTAATCTCTTTGGAAGTTGTTCTGGGCTCTTTGGTTACATTTTGCATTATCCGTCTCTTCAATTTGTCATCAATCTTCCATGTCCATGGAGGTTAGCTACAGTCCCGTGGACCTTAAACTTCTGAATAATATGTGCCACTGTGGTCACAGGAACATGAGGCTGCTTGGAGATGGTCTTATAGCCTTTACCTTTAACATGTTTGTCTATAATTTTCTTTCTAATCTCCTGAGACAACTCTCTCCTTAGCTTTCTGTGGTCCATAATCAGTGTGGTACACACCATGATACCAAACAGCACAGTGATTACTTTTCACCCTCTAAATAGGCAGACTGGCTGATTACAAGTTTGAAGACACCTGTGATGCCAATTACAGGACACACTTTAGTTTAACATGTCTCTATGGTCAAGTTATTTTCAATCTTTTCTAGGGATACCATCATTTTTGTCCAGGCCAGTTTCATTAGTTTGCTTTTTAAAATGCTTTTGTTGAACTGCAATTCAAAAGCAATGTTTGATTTTCATTAGTTAATTTTCAGTAAATTTTTACTTACTTTTGTCAGTTTCACGTTATTTCAGTGACCATTGTGAGTTTCTCTTTCTTGAATGGAAGGGTACCAACAAATTTGTCCACCTGTGTAGGTATTCTGTATAAAGACATAAGGTCTTTTATCAGTCTGTTAGAAATGAGTGAAATGTGTATTTGAACAACCTTTTAATATTTTTGTGAACATTATTTTAATATCTTTAAGTGTCCAAAATCATTCTACTTTTAAATTGATTTATAGTTTCCAGAATGAATTGAGGATAATATGAAATCATTTTAAAGAACACATAACAAAACACATCTGCACGCTGTGCACAAATATTTGTGCGAAAAGCTGCCATATACAGTAGTATAAAGTATGTACATTATTACAGTGAAGGCTATAAATATGGTCACACTGATACTTGGGCAACATTCGTGTGTATAATGAGATTTAAATCAGGTTCATTCATACAGAACGCTAATTATTCAAAAGTTGCACTTATGTTTTTCATCAAATTCAAAATGTTCTATAATCTCATCAGGAGAAACCATTAGATAAACAAGAAAACTTGAGTTTTTCAGTCTCCATCTTATGTTGTCTGCTTTCAGCCGGAACAAACATGCTGAGAGTAAAGAATACAAACTGGCATTTCTACATCTGAGATGACTTGTGTTTGCAGCCCTCTTTTGACACTTAGAGGTCCTCAGTTTCTTAAACCACAAGCATGGCTTATTTCATGTCACACAAGAGTAGAATCTTTTGCAGAAATCGCTGACTTGCGTGCAAGGACAACCCTCATCTCATTGGTGACCCCATTCCAGGGTTTAGTATGGGTCTGAAGCAAACCAGAATCAGTTGACAGGGTCCTGTGCATTCTGGGGAAGCTGCTCCCACTGTTGTAGACATCTTTATCATCTGCAACAGGGAAGTACTGTTCTGGCTGGTACTGTTCTTGTGGTCTCTGAGAGTAGGAGATCTGATGTTGCAGGTGAGACGGGCTTTGGTGCATCTGCAGTTTGTCGATGCCAATTTTGAGCTCATGAGGTCGAGAGACAGGGATGTTGCTGCTTCTGTGGCTGTTCCGGTAGAGAGTGTCAAGATGATCACTGCGATAGTGCATAGCACTATTGGAAGCTTTGACTAGAGAGTGTATTAGAACAACCAAAAGGATCAGGATCCCTGAAGAGAGGACACAAGCACTGGCGATACTTGTCTCCATGTCAAATGTTAGGAGCATAAAGATGGCCATGGCTGCCAAGGAAGAGAACAGAGAATTTATAAATACTTTGCCCTGTGATAAGGAAAGTGTTTATCTGTAAATGGCCATGTAACTTTTCTACTGAAATCTCAGCTTCTGCTCATGTTGTACTAAAAACCTTTTTTGAGTTTTACATTTTAATAATGTCAAAATGCCATCTTTATATGATGTTCTTATCTGAGTTGGCCTATGTTTGCCTGCAGGAAAAGGACCGTGGACTCTGGCATGCTAAAGGAAGGGGGAGAAAAGCACAGTTCTGGGGGTGTGATGTGAATTCCTGAGCTGGTGGTGTTGCCTCTACAGTCCCTTACTCAGCTGCCTCTTGACTGTGGCTTGAAGTGGGGTCATAAGGGCGACGCCGCCTCATCACATTGGGGTGATTGCCTCCACTGAGCGGCTTGTACTGAGCATCACAGCACTGCCAGGTTCAGCATTAAAAAAAACTTGAGTCATGGAAGCTGCTCAAAGAATGCATTGTTGAACTTGAGAAGATAAAGAAATGGTGTGATAGTAATATACTGTCTCTGAATCTGGATAAAACTAAATTTATGGTATTTGGGAATCGTAGACCAGATAACGAACTTCGACTGAAAATTGGGGGGGCTAATATAGAACAAGTATATGAAATCAAATTTCTAGGTGTCATAGTTGATGACAAATTTTCCTGGAAATCTCATATCAGACATATTCAGCATAAAATAGCAAAAAATATATCGATATTGGCAAGGGTTAGATATATTTTGGACAGGAAAGCACTACGTATTTTGTATTCTTCATTGATTTTACCATACTTAGAGTATGGCGTTGAAAACTGGGGAAATACATACAAAAGCTCACTTCAACCATTGTATATATTACAAAAAAGAGCGATAAGAATTGTGCATAAGATGGGGTATAGGGATCACACCAATGTAGCTTTCATACAGTCTAAATTGTTAAAATTTTTTGATTTAGTGGGATATAAGACTGCTGTGTTTATGTATAAAGCCAGGAACAATTTATTACCTGGTGGAATTCAAAAACTATTTAATGAAAGGGAAGGGGGATACAATTTAAGGGGTCAGTTAAATTAAAAAATTAATGCTATACGTACAACCAAAAAAAGATTTTGTATTTCCATAAGTGGGGTAAAACTATGGAATAATCTAAGTGTGGACATAAAAAATAGTAATAGAATTGACGAGTTTAAACATAAATATAAAGGTATGTGTCAATCAAGATATATGCAAGAACAGGCTCAATGATTAATTACATGGACAATTGTGGGTGTGGTGTACACTTTGTAATAATTTTTTAGTATATTACTTGTGTGG